CAATTCCAGGTGCGCCTTTGACGATTTGTTGAGGTTGATTTGAAGTATCCGTAGTCTTGTTATCGATGGTTGTGGTTGTTCAGACATTGGGCACGGTTAGAGATTGGGTGCTATCAGGGGGCGTTAAGCCGTTACTCGACATGGGGGCTGCTATTGGAGACTCTGTTGACTCTGGATTGGGGAAAGGAGGAGGGGGGGACTTAGCTACGGCAGGGGTCGAGCGCTGGCTCGACCGTGACTCCTTGGTGTACGGTCTTCCACCTGGAGCCGCGTACTCGAAGTTGATCTGTGTTTGCCGATACCTGTTCCTCTGTGTAGCTGGCTGAATCGGATTGACCTGGATCTCTGCCGGGGGAACTCGACGTCCTTGCGTTGGATAAGACGGCGACCACGTCCATGATTCCTTCGCTGGGAAGAAAGGTAAGTCGTTTGCTGGATCCCTGGCATTGAGGTCTTCGATCTTCCTGCGGAAAGTAGGGCACTCGCGGTCCCAGCTGGTATGGTCGCTTGTCCTGCAAGAAGAGCAGAAAGTGACACCTGGCTGTGGACACTTACTGGTCCAGTGATCCCTTCCCCCGCATGTACCGCATACGTTTACCTCTTTGTCCTTGATGTTGCACTCCGACGCGATGTGGTCCCAGCCTTGACACTTGAGACAGCGAATCGGTTCCTTCCTGCTCTTCGCCACTGATACTCTCTTGTTGCAGATCGTCAGCCCATTTACTATTGCCCGGTTGGCCGCATCCGCGTCCGAAAAGGTGGCGATGACATGAGCAAAGCGTTGGTCTGTCCTTCGTCGTGCTGGGGGCTTGATCCACCTCATCTTCGTCAGACCGCCTTCAGGTATGTTGTTTGATTCCTCTATCTCTCTTCTATCCTTCTCGCTGCCGGGGTCAAGGGTTAGTGGCACATAGTAGGCGACAACGTTGTACGATCTCTTCTTGAAGGAGGCCTCAGTTTCTCCCAGTTCCCGCAGGAAGGCCGCTGCATTGTCCTTGGAAGCTAACCATGCTGCGCCTTCGTCCGTAGCCATTTCGACCAAGATCCCGCCGTTTTGGAGCCTCAGTGCCGTTCTAATCTTGTGTTTCTGCGCTGTCGCCTTACCCATCGCCTCCGTAAACTTGCCCACCAGGACTAGGTTAGCACAGTCTTTGAGGCTGGATCCTTGTGGTATGTCGACCAGCGATTGACGTTGTCTGATATTTTCCTTCGCAGCTAGACGGGGGTTAGCATCCATCAGCGCCCCAGAGAGTCCCCTGTGCAGCGCGTCCCTGTACGGGGAGCTGGCTGCGTTCCCCGCCTGTTGTACCGCCTTTTCGACCACCTCGGCCAGTTCCACTGTTTTCTCTTTCAACACTTCTGTCTTCTTCTCCAGCTCTTCCATAACCTTCACCCTGAGCCCCTCCGTGAACTCCCTCAAATCTGTGGTCATCTCGTTGAACTGTGCATTGGCGATGTCCCTGATATCTTCTGCTACTGCCCCTAGCTCGACTTCCTTCAGCAAGAAAGCAACCGCGCGGACTGCGTTGATTACAGGGAGGGTGACTCCCGGCAAAGCCGCAATCTGGTGCAGTGTCGTAGCGAGTGTGCCCAAAGTGAGCAGAGCGCCCGACAGGACAAGGAGCAGTTTCTCTTCGAGGTAAGACCTCCCTTTCTCTGAGTCGCCTATTTCTTGTTCGTCTTCATCTAGGTCCACCGCCCCCGTGGCTCTCGTCTTCCCCCGTTCCTGTACTTCTGGTTCGGCCGTTCGATTTTGTCGAATGGTCGCCACTTTACCTTTTTGAGGTGGAGGCTGGCCTTTAGGCTTCGCTCCGGTCCCAGACATTCTCTGAGTTTGTTATTAGCTGGGTAGATAATAGTATAGCAAGTTTTGAAAGCTGTATGTAGGCCAGAATTTCGTGTTGCAATCGACGAGTCGCCCAAAATTTTCGGGGTCCTAGTCGGGGTGCCACGTGGTTCAGGTCCAAGGAGAGTCCGGCTATACTCGTACTGTTTACCGCACATACCACAGCCTGGCTGCCCTGCAGCACTTACATACAGTGCAGGGATTTCTGTCTCCCTGGCGTTGAAACCAAGTGTGTTGGTAAGTCTTATCAATACTTTCTCCCACCTCATTTCTTGTGACGCTCATCGAATGTGGTTCTTAGACGGAGCGTGTGTCTGCATCTACTAATAATCAAGGTTCTTCAAGTTAGGTCGAACCTTGTGAGCCATCCGATATCCTCCTACTGATGAAGCTAACACGCCACCACATTTGAAGACCAATAAAGCTTTTTCAGTCGAATTTGACGCGTTTAAATTACACAAGTGTTTTGTTTGGTGAACTTGAGAACTCTGGTTTCCTTGGGCAATTTCCAACGCCATTTGAGATGGAATTCGTCACGCATCCATCACGCCTCTCAGCATTCCGTCGGGAATGGTTATATCACAAGCAATCCAATGAAACAACCATGAAACAACCAGTGAGTCCCGTTCTTTTCCTAAGAGTGACAAAAAATGACTGAGTCCTCAGCCCGCGAATGCGACTGGTTTCAGTCGTATTTGGATTGGTTTTGCGTTCCAAAGGTTGATTATGTTGGGAATGCCCTGACTCGACCTCAACTCGACCTCATGATATGATCTCCTGCTCATGTGATCTTCCTTGAGGAATTTCGTTTTTTTTTTTTTTTTTTTTTTTATTATCTCGAGATTTACGTGCAACAAGTAGTCTAGTACTAAGACGCACGGGAAGCGTATGGCTTCCCTTTTAGATGTAATTATGTCGTGCGGGCTTTCCATTACGTGAATTTGGGTGTCCGATGTGTAGCTGTATTGTATAAGAGATGTGTAGGGTTGTGTGCAGGGGCCAGAGAACTGGAGGTCAGAGTCGAGTGCGTCGTGGCGACGCTAGGGGCATGGCGGGCGCTCTTGCGCTCGCGGGGGATTGGGTCTGGGTGTGGGCATCGTATGGGTGTTATGGTTCAGCGTCGGACTCATCGTCTTCTGAGTCCTCGTCTGGGGGTTCTGGTTCGTCCTGGAAGGATGGGGTTTCTTTTGGCATGTGCTTTTCTCCCGTGAATGTGAACGCGCCGGAGTCTCTTATGAAGATGGATAGGGCCGTGATGCCTTTGGGGGTTCCCAGTAGTTCTGGGAGTGCCAGTTCACGGTCGTGATCACGTAGCTTGGCCCGTTGGTCCTCGTACCGTTCGCAGTCTCTTATAATGTGCTCGCGCGTCTGTGGGTCCACTCCGCATTCGCAGTTTGTGGTTTTCTCTGGGAAGAATTGTCTGCGGAATTCTCCTGTATACGCGTGCCCGGTTCGACACTGTACCAAGCGGCCGAAGACTTCACGCTGGTCTTTGAGTTCGACGAAATGTTTGGATGGGTTGAGGGACGGGGGAATCCTGTTGGATATTGCGAACCTCCCCTTGCGTGGGGCCCTCTGCCAGTCCCTGGTCCACGCGGATTGAGTCGAGGCC